TCTTTCTTTTTTTTTTTTTTCCTTTTTGTCTTTTTTCGTGTCTGGCAACGGATCGCAACCCTCAGTGTCGCGCCCGTACCGGACCGGGACCGGCAACGGGATCGCAACCCTCGGTGTTGCCCCCACACCTTGCTCAGCCAGTGAGCGGGAACCGGTCTGTATGTGGGATCCGAACCCTTGGTGGGAGCGCCACCACGCTCCCAAGCGGCGCACTGTAGCAGTGCGCCACCGGGCCGGCCCAGTTTCTCTTATTTCTAAAACTGCTTCTGTCATGGGAGATATTATGACCCAAGTCTTTATTCATCCCTAATGTTCTTTCCACCTTCTTTCGATAGGAATGGGTGTCCCTTCTTCCACAACCCCTGGCCAGCAACCTCCTGGAGGACCATCACAGGTAGAGCTGCATTTTGAGCAGCTCTATGTAAATAATGGGAGTTCTTTTGCAGTTCTTCCACGACTGAATGAAAGTAGATTTTTCTTCTTTCTTTTTCCATTTTTTATTAGCATATTCATTGCTACAAATCGTCCTTATTCTTTATGCCCCTTATCCAATCTTTCCCCTTCCCCGTCCCCCTGCCCCTCTGATAACCATAGATTTGTTCTCTCCATCTATAGATTACCTGCTCCTCTGTTGGTTTGTTGCCCAGATGGTCTGTCCAGTGCTGAGACAGGTGTGATCAAGTCCCCCCATATTATCACAAAGCAGATGCTTCTTCTATTACTCAGGACGGTACTTTGTGGAGAGAGAGGACCTCTTTTTTTTTCTTTTTTTTGGTTTCCACTGGTGCCACTCCTTGTGTCAATGCAGTTGAGAGTCTGTTGTGCCACCTGCACAGTGGCTGTGACTGCTGCTGTAGAGACTAGCTGCTTTTGCAGCAGCCATGGCAATTGCAGTGACTATGGAGGGCTACCTGTGTGAAAATGGTGTTTTCGGCATGCTCTTTACCTGGTTGAGGCTGGGATCAGCTTTCCCCGGCTCCATACCTCAGGCCCCCAGTGGAGCCCCAGGGCGGTGGCAGCAGCTTGCCTAGTTGAGGCCAGGTTTGGCTTCCCCGGCTCCACGCCTCATTCTAAGATGATGTTGCGAAACAGTTGGGGGGAAGAAGGAGAGGGGAGGGGGGGGAAATAGGGTAGGAAGAGTGGGAAGGAGGAGAGTGTGATCAAGGCCCATGATCCCCCTCTTTCCAACATGGGAGACCAGGCAGCTTCTGGCAGTGGCTGGGTCACCGCTGGGCTGGGTGCAGATGTCAAGGGGGGTGGTTGAGGCTGTCAGCACCCCCACCACCCCAGCTCAGGAGCCCAGGGAGCTTCCAGTGGCAGCTCACTAGTCATTGCTCGGTTGGTTACGGATGTCAGGGGGCGTGGCTGAGACCCTTGGTCCCCCAACCACTGCAGCTCGGGACCTGGGGTGCTTCCTGCAGTGGCTCAGTGGTCATCACTGGGCTTGTTGTGGATGTTGGGGGGGGAGGTGTGGTTGAGGCCCTCAGCCCTCCCCTCTCCCTGGCTTCCTTTTAGGTTTTATAGGTGTTCATTGGTGGTGTTAGACCTTTACTAGTTAATATTAAACTCAGATCTATAGGTTTTTTTTTTTTCTTTCAGTTCTGTGTTGGATTATTCTCTATTCCCACCACTTAAACTCTGCACTGGAGCTAATCTGTTGTCTTTTGCTTATTTCTAAAATGGGGGAACTTCCTGTGGGGACCAGCACTTGAGACCTGTGGTTGAGCTAAATTGCTGCTTTGCTGCTGATTCCCTGCGGAAGGCTTTTTGTGCCGCTCAGGTTTTAATGGTTGACCTTGTATACATTTCCAGGTCTCATGAGGTCTGATACACCTGGGTTGCATGGAAACTGTGGTCTGGGCCTGAGTCTTTTCAGCAAACTGCACACCCTGCTGTTCTATATTCCTGACCAGTCTCCTCTGAGTGGTCCTGTGCTGATTGGAGGGCAGATCAGCTGTCTTTGCTGTGCCCCAATATTCCCCTGGTGGGCCCGTCTCCCCCACCACCTGCACTCCACACTTCCCATGGGACAGGCTGTGCTCTGATCCCTTGCAATGACTCACTGGCCTCTGAGTGTCTCCTTTTTTCAGTTGTCTGTGGTCCCTTGCTCCTGTGTGAGTCCACTGAACCTTGTTCATGGTCTTGCTGGCCTGGGGGCCAAGGCCCTCTTCTCCTCTGCCACCTCCAAGCAACTTCATAGGAAGGGCACACCTGCAGCTTTTGCCAGTCCCTGCTCCATGTGCTCACCAGCTCTAGCATTAAAGTGGCTGGGGCTTGAAATGATGGGAGTGATCCTTTCTCTTATTGTGGCTTCTCCTGCCTTCATGAACTCTGTAGGTCTCTCCTCCTCCTCCCCTGAGCTCTAGCGGCCCCAGCTTGGCTGTCATTGCTTTTTAATAGTTGTAAGTTGGATGATTTGTGGGAGAGGGTGATGCTGGAGACCATCTATTCTGCGATCTTGACTAGAAGCCAAAAAGTAGATTTTTCAAAGGCAATGGCAGAATGCACCTTTGCTGACACAGCCTGATCCAGTTAACTAGGGATGAACAGGATAGAAGAGTCAAGCTCACTTCTAATTTTAAGTTCTATAAAATGACCGATTATTCAGGCTAGCAAATACTAGCCTAAATACTAGTACTTAGTACCGAACTCTTCAAATCAGAACAAGAGGGCTTCCCTCTGGGATAGGGAGGGCCTCTTCTAGTGGTAATGAGGGCTCTGGGTTTGGAATTAGGGCTCTTGAGTTTGATTGTCTGTTCTGTCTCTTAGGAGATGTATACTCTGGGCAAGTCACTAAATATACCTGAGTTTCCATTTCAATTACAAAATGAAAGAGTTGGACTAGATCTCTGAGGGGCACATTCTAGCTATAACATGTTCTCCTTCTGTAGTGAGAATAATTATAGTCTATTGACATTATCAAATCAATCTACTCCCTGAAATTCTTGGAATGCTAACTTTTAGCAAAGTGTAAATTGATACAAAGACAAACATATGTATATAACAATATTCTTATTGTTAGAAGGAAACATTCTTTTCACAGTGTTTCACCTTCTATAAAAACAAGTTTAACTGGTGCTATATCATCATTTAAAAATATTTTATTAAGCATTGATTTTAAAAAAAGGAAGAGATGAATGTAACACCTTGGAGCAAATGCTTGAAGGTAAAACAAATATCACTATAAATATTGCACTTATAAAATCTTTTTTTTTACATCTTCACACAACTCAACTCTAAAATATCCTTTTACAGAGATGTATAAATAAACTGCTTCCAAGCTGTCAACACTTGACACATTTAGTTTCCCATCATTGCGCTAAGTTGGCAGGTTTTCAATCAGATGTCTGCTTCTGTCAGTGCAGGCACAGAAATTCCATCGGCTATATGGGAGATTTTATACCTACATCACGTGAAGAGTAAATTAATCCAACTTTTCAGAATGCTCAACATTTAATTTTACAAGTTTTTTCCTACTGAGAGAAAACAGATCTTTTAAAAGCAATGACAGAATGCAGCTTAAATTGACATAGTTCACTGTTAACATTGCTTATTTTTTAAGGCATTCAGAAGCTTCTGATTCTTGGTCTTGAACATCATGATAAAGCTGTTTGGCATAATTTTGCCTCGCCCATCTTCACCCACTTGGCCCATAATAATGTAATTTAGACCTAAAGAAAGAAAATATAAAAATTAATCTTTTGCTCTGTGTGTGTTGTTTCAAACAACTTAGACTATGACTTAGCTCTGGATAAATGTTTTGTAAGTTATATTATATATTTATTCCATCTAGGAGAACATTTGGTCTAAGACTCTTTAGCTTTTAGCAAAAAGCCAGATTCAACTAGTAATAGATTCCAGCTCTGCTAACACAAGGACACTGGATGGAGTGGTTTGATGCCGTCAGGTCCTACTCTGCAGTGCTGTAGGTTTGCTGTGGTCACCGAATGCCTACTATGAATGATGCACTGCGTTAACATGAAAGACTTCTTCCTCTAGGGTCCTCCAGGGCTCCATAGTGGGACATCCTCAGACAGCCTGTAATAGTCTTATAATATATCTGAATTTCCCTGGCACTTTGTAAGTAATGATCCACTCTCTTCTGCTGCTGTTGTCTTGAACTTTTACCAACATCTCAAGCACTTATACCATGTAAGTTTTTTGAGTGCATGGATGGATCTTGCGTTTGTATAGTCCCTTGCAAGACCTGGGTACTAAAAAGTACGTATATTTGTTACACTACTTTTTTATACATTGGCGGGTCTGGCTAAATTAGGCCTTGACATGGGCCTGAGCTGAGGTGTGTTGGGTTTGACTCTGTAGACTTATATTGCCTCAGAAAAATGTCATAAAAGAGGTGTATATTATTTCCTCCTTTAAGAGAAATGTGTGTTTCCTTTTTCTCTTGCATAACCTTTCCTGTGCAGGCTAACGCTGTCATCACAGTGGTCTGTGGCTGTGAAAGCTTGGTAGGTTGGGCAGGGGGATGCCCCCCCAAGGTTGGACTGAGCATCATGATATAATATCTAGATGTGCCTCATCTGCTGTTCCTGGCAGTTCTGAAAAGAAATGTTTATCTTTTACAGAGCCTTTGCTATTCCCTCCAGAGAGTCAACATGAGGCTGCCAGCGTGCTGACTTTTCTGATCAATCTGAATTGACTGTCAAGCTTTCTTGTAGTGGATATTCTGTATTTCTGTGTGTGGGGGCGGTGGGAGGGGGGTTGGTTTGTTTTACTTGTGGGAGAGGTTTGTGATAAGACTGAGGAAAGAAATAAGCTGAAAATGGACCAAGAAATCATGGTCTACCACACAGTGGAATGCCGGGCATTATTACCATCCCAGAGAAAGAGAGAGATCTCTCTCTATCTGTGCTGTTATGGAAAGATGTCTACACATACTTTAGGTAGGAAAAAAGTTGCAGTAAGATATGTATAGTATAATTCCACTTGTCTAAGTATGATGCCCATGCTTTATATAGATAGAAACTTTCTGAAAGGAACTTTTTATAGTACTTCTGGGGAAAAGAAAAGGGTCTCAATTTTTGTTTTATACCCTTATCTACTTATTTAAACTTTTAAACAACCATGAAACATACATTACTTTTATACATTAAAGAACTTATTAAATATATATATATATATATTCAAAGCCATGTGCCTCTGAGTCTGGAGTAACTTTCCTTTTTCCATAATTTCTCTCAATAAACTTATTCCCATCCATGGATTTAATGGTCCCATCTCTGCAAATGATTCCCAAATCTTTCATTCTAGCCCAGATACACCTCTCTCTTCTGAACTTCAACTCTGCATTTCCTGCTGCTTGCTGGCTGTTTTCTTTCAAACATAGTATTGGTACCATAAGTACAACAGTCTCTTTCCTCTGAATCGATCTGTCTTTATCTGTTCCCTGTTGATTGAACTTCAAATATCTCTTGGACTCATTCATCATTTCCACTACCTCTCCTTCTTCCACGAGTTCTATGAACTGGGATTAGAGCCAATTCTGCCTGACTCCGTAGGACGTCTTTCTCTACCAGAAGCGGGCAGTATATTAACCCTGATCTTACTTCCCTAGGCCAGTCATGGCATGGAAAGATCCAGGACTTGCTCAGAGAGGCTCTCTCATTCCATCCCTGTCCTGGAGCCCCACTAGAAGAAAGACTAAAGTGTTCTCCTTCGTCACCTCTGCGGAGGAGAGGGCACTGCTTGCAGACCACCACGACCTTGGCACTCATGTTCTTGCCGGCCTGCTGAATCGCCAGATTTCCTTCTTTATAGATGTTGATGATCGAGACTGTGGCGTGCAGACTCCCACCTCGGGTGATGGTCGTGATTACAGTGCCAGCTAATACTGCAGAAGAAAACATGTTTGTAAAGAATGGGATTGCAAAGGCAAGTGCAAGCAGAACTGAAAATAATTTCACATTCTTATAAATTTCAGGTACAAAACACTTTTTAAAAAATTTTTTTTATTGAATCATAGTTGATTACATGTATTTTTTGGGTTCAATGTTGACATATGTCAATCAAATCAATATTACTAGTATATATATATATATATTTTACAAATTGTACTTATTCTTTATGCCCCTTGTCCAATCTCTCCCTATCCCTCTCTCCCTCCCCCCTCCTCCTTCTGATTACCCTAGATTTTTTCTCTCCCTCTGAAAGAGTAATGGTTATTCTGTTGATTTGTGGCCTAGCTGATCTGTCCAGTGCTGAGAGGTGTGTTCAGGTCCCCCAATATTATCATAGGGCAGATGCTTCTGTCACTCTGGAATGGGCTTCGTGGAGAGAGACATCGAGAGAGACATCCTCTTCTTTTCGATCCTCTTCTTTTCGTTGGTCTCTGCTGGTGACTCTCCTTGTGTCAATGCACTCCAGTGGCTGGCGGACCATCTGTGTGTGGTTGTGGTGTCTAGCTGCTTTCACGGCAGCTGTGGTTATGGTGATGGCTGTGGTGGGCCATCCACATAGAGGTGATGTTTTTGGCATGCTCCTTGGTGCTGGTGGTGTGCCTGGTGTTTGGAGGGGGGTCCGATCTCCGGCTCAATGCCTCAGGTCACTGGTCAGGCCCCGAGGCACTGGTAGTGTGCCTCGTTGTGGGCAGGGGGTCCAGTCCCTGGCTCCATGCCCCTGGTCCCCTGGCAGGCCCCAAGGTGCTGGTGGAGTGATTGGGCCAGAACTAATTTTTTTGTCCTTTGCTTACTTCTAAAAGGGTGGAACCTTCTTTGGGACCCAGTACTTGAGCTCTGTGGTCTAGCTAAATTGCTGCTTTGCTGCTGTTTCCCTAGGGAAGGCTTTTTGTGCAGCTCTGGGTTTAATGTTTGACTTTATAGGTACTTCCAGCTCTCCAGAGACCCAGTGCACATGGGTTGTGTAGAAACTCTGATCTGGGCCTGAGTCTTTTCATCAAACTGTACCCCATGCAATTCTATATTCCTGACCAGTCTCCTCTGAGTGGTCCTATGCTGATTGGGGGGCAGATCAGCTGTTCTTGCTGTGCCCCAGTGTTCCCCTGGTGGGCCTGTCTCCTCCACTGCCTGTGCTCCAAACACTTACTATGGGATAGGCTGTCCTCCAGTCCCTTGTGATGACTCACTGGCCTCTGAGTGGCTCCTTTTTTTCAGATGTCATGGCTCCTTGCTCCTGTGTGGGTCCACAGGAACCCTATTAGTGGTCTTGCTGTCCTGGGGTCCACCAAGGCCCTCTTCTTCCCCGCCACCTCCAAGTCATGGCTCCTTGCTCCTGTGTGGGTCCACAGGAACCCTATTAGTGGTCTTGCTGTCCTGGGGCCCACCAAGGCCCTCTTCTTCCCCGCCACCTCCAAGCAACTTCATCCGAAGGGCACAGCTGCAGCTTTTGCCAGCTCCTGCTCCATGTGCTCACCAGCACCAGCCTGGAAGTGGCTGCGGCCTGAAATGCTCTGAGCATTTTTTCTTTCTCTCATCATGGCTTCTCCTGCCTTCATGAACTCGTAGGTCTCTCTTCCTCTTCCCCTGAGCTCTAGTGGCCCTAGCTTGGCTGTTGTTGCTTTTTTATAGTTGTAAATTGGTTGATTTGTGGACACACAGAGTGATGCTGGGGAACGTCTATTCTGCCATCTTGACTGGAACCCCCCAAAACACTTTAATTTTAAAGAAAAGGCCCTAACAGAGCTCTCCAATTTGATTCTGTACACTTGCCACCAAAATTCAGGTTGATAAAAGGGATCATGGAGCTATAATGATACTCTGGTTGCTAGATGTTGATAACTGGGAGAGAAAAGTAAATACTTGCTGCATTGAAGTCTATTGTTGCGATGGGAACTCTTTAAAATGTTTTATCCAACATGTGGATAAACTGCTAAATAAGGAATAAGCTTATGAGCCTCTACCCATGAATACTCAATGAGACCTTGAATTTTTAGAGGCAATAATGTACTCAGAGGCTGCATGATGGGGCCTGAGCCACAAAAACCTGAGTCTGTGAGGGAGTCAACATCTGCTTTGCTGTGTCCCTTTCTCCAACCCTCTTTTGAGCTGTCCACTCCCCTTGAACTTTCATTCATCCCACGAGTCTTCATCTCTCTCTAATTATCAGTAAATCTCTGTCTTTTCTGGGTCTTCTATATTCTCTTTCATATTCTACTTCTCCCTATTTATCTCATTAAACAAGTCAAAGTACAGAACTGATATATAACTTAAACATTTTCTTGCTTAAAAAAACAAAAACAAAAAAACTCTAGGAAAATTCAGTTGATTTTTATTATGTAACTCCCTTTTTTTTTGGATGTGACACTCAAAAAAAAGAGTCTTTCTTCTAAGCCACAGAAGGAAAGATGCCATCTTTCTTAAAGGGTTGCTTTTGGCATTTTGGGAAGTTAGGACGGGGGATTCCTGTGGTACAGGACTTGCATCAAGTGACTTTTTTTATCAGCCCTGTCCCTACTCAGAAAAACCAGTAGCAGTCCCCACTTATTGTGACAACCAAAAACTGCCCCTAGAGTGCTACCAACCCTGGTCAAGAACCAAAGGGGCAATGGTGATAGTATTTGGTTATCTTGCCATGTAAATGAGTCATAATCAATGAACTTAATCAAGTTTTGGACATGGCTAATAGGACTCTTTCAGGATAAAGTGAACACTCACTGTTTACAGAGTCTGTAAAGCTCATAGAACCCGAATTCTTATCGTGCCTTACTTTGATGAGTGTTCATGGCAAAATGTCATTCTGTAACCAAGTAAAATCCAGGATAAAGTGAACACTCACTGTTTACAGAGTCTGTAAAGCTCATAGAACCCGAATTCTTATTGTGCCTTACTTTGATGAGTGTTCATGGCAAAATGTCATTCTGTAGCCAAGTAAAATCAAGTGGCTTCCAAGAAATAGGGAGATTTTCTGAAGCCCTTCCTATAGAAGACTAAACTGGATGTGGTAGCAATGACACCTGGTGCTATTTGTTTTCATTTTTATGCCAGTAATTTCAATTTCAGAATGCAAACTCCATAAGATTTAGGGCCCTATACTCTTCAGTGTCTTCAACACCTTTCCTATGGCGTAGCTTGTCTGGGCTGCAGACAGTTACCACTTTAAGGCACAGAAAAAGCAAGCAAAGCCTCTCTGGGGGGCCCTTTGTTTTGGGTAACCTAGTTAGTCGTAGCAACTTTCTTTTCCTGATAAGACTTTTTCTTAAATGTTCCTTTTAAGCTACTTGTAAAAATAGCTAACATAATTAAATTTAGTATCTTTTTCTCTTTAGTTTTCACAGATGGTGCAATTTTTAATTGAAAAAATCTCTTAGAAATTCTAAATCATGAAGTCATATCTCCTCAGTTTCCAATTTATAAGAGTTCCCAAATAGACTTTAGATTTCCGAGTTTTAATTTAGTACTCTGGAAGGACACTACAGAGGAAATACTTGAATTTCTTCTGAGAGGCCAACTTCTGAATGTGAGCCTGGGTATGTTTCTAATGTACTTAAGTTGACTAACAGATCGTGTGAAAAAATCCTTGACACATGAAAGATATGTGAAAATAAAAGTATACAGGTTTTTCAGGAATAGTCAGCCAGAATATACAGATCAGCAGCATCATGTACCACAGTCAAATTATTAAATTTATGTAAAAAAGACATATTTTCCGGATACATCTTTTTCTCACTTGTGAAATCTAACAATTCAAGTAGCACAAGTCAACACTTTAGTGTACAGGAAAATGCTTTGCTGGATAAATGAACAGTGTTACTGACCCTTCGCCATTAAATTCATGGGAATTCCTTTAAGATTAAGCATGAGGTTTCAAGTTTCTGGTTAAAGAGAAAAAGGCTGGTTTTATTTCTTACCAAAGTTACTTGAACAATAATTGCTCTCCGGAGTTCCCGTCCGTCTGCACTTTTGCTGACAAAGGGGCACGGTGGGTTTTAAACCTTAACTCAAAGAAGAAATATGTAAAATTCAGGAAAATGAATTCAAGTATAATTGGTGTTTGATCTGAATCTGTGCATTTAAAATTACCATTTATTTCCCTAAGCCACCAATCTATCACTGCAATGAAATAATTAAAAGCCATGCAAAAGAAATTCTTCGTGCTACCAACTACTGCTCTAATTTCCTCAGGGAAACTCAATACCCTCTGCTGAATTTTAAAACTAAGATCAAAGATAATCCAAATTTTGCTCTATCTCTTCTTCCTTTATATAAAACTAAAATCAAAAATAGATATACTCCGTGTGTGTGCCCTGCTTAGAAAACCCTGTATGACAATCTAAACTCATAAAATATAGCTTCATTATTCACTTTACAAAAGAAATCCTATGGTGTTCCCCTGAGTATGGAAGGAGATTTCTTGGAGCATTAAAATATGTAATTGTAAGGGCTGGTTAACTCACTTGGTTAGAGCATGGTGCTGACAACACCAAGGTCAATGGTTCGGATCTCCATACCAGCCAGCTGCACCCACCCCCCCACAATTTCCCAAATGTGAGAAGTACAGATTTCAGAAATGCTGCTCATGTGTAAAGTGTTAACATCTGTAATTTTTTATTTTTTATTTTTAATTTTTTTTTGTCTTTTGTCATTTTCCGTGTCCGGCAACGGATCGCAACCCTCAGTGTTGCCCCCGTACCGGACCGGGGACCGGCAATGGGATCGCAACCCTCGGGGTCGCTCCCGCGCCTCGCTCAGCCAGTGAGCGGGAACCGGTCCGTATGTGGGATCCGAACCCTCGGGCGGGAGCGCCGCCGCGCTTCCCAAGCGGTGCACTTATCCAGTGCGCCACCGGGCCGGCCCCAAACATCTGTAATTTTTTAGATGCAACTAATCACTAAATATTTGTTGTGAGCCTGGCATTGGCTATAAGGATCTTAAGAACTGAGAAGTAGACAAATTTAAAAGTAAAACTAAATAGATAAACACAGTGGTTCTCAACTGTGGGTGATTTTGCCCCTATAGGTGACATATGCCAATATCTAAAAACATTTCTGGTTGTTAGAACTATTGGCATCTAGTAAGCAGAGGCCAGGGATGCTGCTAAGCATCCTACAGTGAACAGGACAGCCCCACAACAAAGAATCATCTGGCCCAAATAGTGTAAATACTGCCAAGGTTGAGAAACTCTGGGTTAACAAAATAAAAATATTTAATCCTCATTTATCATCTTTAAAATGTTTCAAAAATATTTGCTAATTATTCCTGTATATGTGGCAATATGCTAAGAAGAACTGGACAAAACAACTGTTAACAGAACTGTACTTGGGTAAATATCTGCAATTACAATATTGCTCTTCTAATATGTCCAACCAACTCCTCTGTGAATTTCGTATGTATTTACTTGCTTTAAATTTGTACCACTACTTAACTCCAGAAAGGATCTGAAGTAGATTACAATGTTAAAACATATACAAATTAATGTTAAAATACATCTAATAGCTTAAATGTAGATTCTTTTTAAAAAAGAGAAAAAGCTCAGAAAATGTTTAGAGGAAGAGATATATCATTGTTCCAGAAGTTGGGGAACTCACTTGGGCCCTAAATTAACCAAATTAACTGAGTCAAAAAAGAGCGGTGTTAGTGGTTCTCCCTGTCTGACGAAAGAGCGCACCTGTCACGTGGACCATCGGAAACCAGCTCCTTCTCAGCCTCAGAATGTTTGTCTGGAAGCCGGGTGGGTGTCCCGGCTGCACCTTCTCTCCCTTTCATAGATCCCTTCTCTCCTGGTTTGAAGTCATAGCTACACCACCTTTAGCTTGCTCGACTTACTGTCATCCGTCCACCGCCTGCCCTCACAGGTGTGGCCCCTAGGTGTCAGCCCTCTGACCCCTAGTCCCATGGCCTCATCCCTGGGGACTTTGCCTTCGTTCCGCCTCAGATACCCAGTGCCAGGTTCCTGTGTCCTCGTGCTAAAGTTATTCATGGCCGATCTCTCAAATTTAGCCATCTTAGTATTCAGTACAGCCTCTGCCCCTTCAAGCTTGTGCATTCATTACTCTCATGACGCCTTTCTTTGCTGTCTTTGGAGGTTCTCTCATTTTCCCCAATCCATCAACCCTGGCCTGTCTTTTTTTTTTTTTGTCTTTTTTGTGACCGGTAAGGGGATCGCAACCCTTGGTGTGGTGTCGCCCGCACCGCGCTCAGCCAGTGAGCGCACCGGTCATCCCTATATAGGATCCGAACCTGCAGCGGGAGCACTGCTGTGCTCCCAGCGCCACACTCTCCCGACTGCGCCACGGGGTTCACCGGTCATCCCTATATAGGATCCGAACCTGCGGCGGGAGCACTGCTGTGCTCCCAGCGCCACACTCTCCCGACTGCGCCACGGGGTCGGCCCAACCCTGGCCTGTCTTTACGTCCTTTGCTGTTCCCCTTGGTCTCCACGGTCCATTGTTTCAATCATTTTCTCGACAATACCTTAACCTCTCTTTCCCTCTGTCCTTCAATCCTGTATGAACCCTGTAGGGAAACCTGTGTTTTCTGTGCCTGCACTCGGCTGAGTACACAAATGGACCTTCATCAAAGTGACAGGCGGTTTGGTGGATCAACTTACTCTCCAATTCCCACAGCTGCTTTTCAAATTCTTTCTCATCTGCCTAACCTCCAGTGCAACCACTGCCCTGCTCACACTCAGCAGGTGACCTTGCCTATTTTCTAGAGAGAATAGAAGTCATAGCAGAAAACTTTCTCCAGTTCCCCACCAAACCTCCAAATCATCTCGATTTGTACCCTGTCTCTTCTGTTCCTCCTCTCAGAGAGGACGTCACCCCCCAGTCTAAGGTCATTCCTCCTGAGGGTCCCCTGGAGCCCGACCTCCCACTTCTGTAGAAACTTCCCTTCTCGTTTATTCCTTCTGCTCTACTCTATCTTTGCTGGCTCCTTCCCACCAGCATTAACATGTTCAAGACCCTCAAGGCCTCTCTCCCTCCCTTAGGGCTGAACGTATGAATTGCTGGACCTTACTACGTCCATGTCTTTGCCTCGTTCCACTGTCTGGCTTCTGCCTGCACAGCACCGCTCACACTCCTCTCACTAGGGTCCCCAGTACCTCCATGTCATGAATTCAAATGGACACGTTAGTCCTCTCCTTATTTGAAGTCTCACCAACACTTGACTCTTGGACAGCTCCTTATTAAAACATCCTCTTCCATACTTTCCACAGCACATGCTCCTGGTTCCTCCCTCCACCCCAGCCACTCCTTTTCAGTCTCCTCTGCTAGCATATCCTCCTCTTTAAAAAGTGGGAGTTTCTAGATGTTTAATCCCAGCTCCTCTCCTCCTTTTGCCCCCAACCTCATCCTGGCCCATGGTTTCAACCATCTATATATTGTTGACTTTTAAATTTAAATCTCCTGCTTAAATCTCTCTTCTGGTCTGGAGACCCATATATCTGTTTGCATGACATCTACACTTGAAAGTCGCACAGACACCTCGAACCCAACAAGGCCACAGCTTAATTTATAAATCCACACCTGAACCTGGTTTTCTGCTTCAGTGAACGGTAATATTATCTCCCCTGTTGTGCAGGCCAGGCACCTGGGAGGCATTCCTGATATCTCCCTGATCCCTGGTCCAGTTAATCACCAAGGCCTGTCACTCTCTCCCACTCATCCACTGTCTCTGCATTTGTGCCATAACATGGTTCAGCTGGACAACCACAAGAACCTGCCAATCCTCATGATCTCTACAATCCATTCGCTTCACAATGGCTACAGTGATCTTCATAAGGTGCAAATCTAATCCTGAGCTTTTCTTAAACCCATTCACAGTTTTCCCACTTTGATCTTAGGATCAAAACCTAAATACTTGGAGCATATGAAGAGAGCTGGAAGGGCCTGAAGATGAAGCTGGAAAGACTGGCTGGGGATGAAGTGCAAAGGGTCTTATACACCACATAAAGGACCTATGTGTCCAATATGGTAGCCACAGCCACATGAGGCTTTTAAAATTTAAATTAATCAAAATTAAATTAAAACTTTTTTTCCTCAGCATCACTAGCCACATTTCAAGTGCTCGATAACGGCTGCCACAAGGACCTATGTGTCCAATATGGTAGCCACAGCCACATGAGGCTTTTAAAATTTAAATTAATTAAAATTAAATTAAAACTTTTTTTCCTCAGCATCACTAGCCACATTTCAAGTGCTCGATAACGGCTGCCACACTGGACAGCAACAGCTGTAGACAATGAATTTAACGGGTGAGTGACATGGTTTGCTCAGTGTGTGTAGGGTAGTGGGGAGGTGAAACAGACGATGTCAAAGGTGACACTACAAGTGTGGCCACAGATGCCGTGGACATTCTTGGGAAAATGGGCAGCAGTCACGTTTGAGACAGAAAATAGCGTGATAAAAGCAAGCTGAGTCTGATATGTTTTCATTGAAAAGTCTAGCAGTCGCAAAAGATCTAAGAGATAATTACAAGTCCACGTTTGCAATTTCAGAGAAAGCTGTGGACAGAGATAAAAGCCGGAAAACCACTAGCACCATGGGTATGGCCAGACAGTTCCCTGGAAAGGACACCGGGGCCCACGTTGATGAGCTGGGGAAATACAGCAGTGACCTGAGGCAGTACACATGCAGGCCACAAGGTGGCCCACTCGTGGAGCGCTCCGAAAAGTCAGACCTTCTGGAAGTACCTGCCTGTTCTCAGGACAGCCCTGGCCAGGGTGTATGCAGAAAATGGTGGGCAATTAACCTGGCCTTATTTCAGCCGATTTCACATCTTAACCTTAGATCTCTCCTTCCCACTTTTTTTTTCTCCCCCTTGGATTTAGATTTTCGGATCTGAGGCTCACTCCAACCACTCCGTTTTTTAAATCATGCCCTAGATCAGAGTTTCCCAACCAGCTTCTGTCATATATTGAATATTTGTGTTCAATTTACTCCAATTTGAAAAATATATAACCTATTAAATATGGCATTTTGCTGAGGAGAAAAAAAAGCCCAAATACTGGCAGATGTGAAAACGGGCAGGTATCAAGACCCTAGTATTTTAACCTCAAATGTCACAAGTCTATGTAATAAATAAAAAACCACTATTTTGTGAGTGCCAGAAAAGGAAACTTAGGCTTATAATGATCTCTGATTAATATAGGCTTCCTAATAATTTTTAAGTGGTCATAATCTTCTTAGATGACATTTAAAAACCATTATCTAATAACATTCTTACACCCTATACCTTTCTTTCATTAATGAGAATCACATTATTCTCTTACATAAGTTTTCATCCTATTTAACTTATTTTAGTTTCAAAAACCTTCCTCTTATTTAATCTTTGGACTTCGAAAAAATTCTGCTTTTACTCCTAAAGTTTTTGCATAGACTTCCAAACAGAAAAACTTACCTGTAGTTACAGGGAACGTGGTGGTGACAGGTGGTGCTGTAGTTGTTGGCAGTTTTTTTGGCCTGAAGTTGTAGTGGCCAATAAATCCATCTGCAGTTAAACTTAAGTCTGATAAAAACTGAATAAGAAGTTCATTTCTCTCAGACACAATTGGCCTAAAAGAGAAAAACATGTTTTCTAAAAAAAAAATATATATATATTAAGTTTAAGTGGTGCCTCTCTGAAAATGTAAACGTTTCTAGTTTTCCATTAATTTTTAGATTACCATTTAAACTTAAAATGGTAAGTTTGACATTTAAACTTAAAAGCTGAAACACTTAAAAGGGTGGAAGTCTTAATCTGCTAAATATTAATACTAATAGCTATCATTTACGAGTGTTTGCTCAGTGTGGCCCTGGGTTTTATGTGAACTGTTGCATTCCATCTCCACAACAACCCTGTTATTATCCCCTTTTTATGGAACAGGCAACCAGAGTTCAGAGAGTTCAAGTGATTTTCCCAAGGCCCTATCAAGATTCGATCGCAGGACCAGGTGACTCCAGAGATTGGCAGACACTGGAACCAATGGCAACACTGCAGCTGTGGCTGGCTTCACACAAGCACCTCAGGCCTTGTCTGACTTGAGAACAGCACAGCTTCTTTGAACTAAAACTGTGTTCAAACTGGCCTGGGGGTCTAGATGCTGGCCTTGGAGAATCCAATGGACAAATCTGATGAACAAATTCCCACACTCTGTGAAGCCAACAGCCAGAGGGGTCATCTCAGTGGGCTGGTCACCCCAGAAAATGAAAGCCATGCAGGGCATACAGGGACTTCCATTTCATTTTTTTTTTTTTTTTTTTTTTTTTTTTTTTT